TCAATGCTAATCCCTATGCTGTCATTAAGAGTGACCTGGAAAGTAATTTTGTCCATGAGTCCAACAACCACAGCCATTTTGGCCACCACAGTTAATACAGTGCTCTTGGAAGTCTGAATCTCTAAATCCTCCATTAACTTGTCGTTGCTTACATAACCTGTAGAAATCAAGACAGAAATCAAGGAGGAAATAAGATCTTACTATTCATGGTTCGACTCCTTGGCCAGTTCTGTGCTGTTCTCTGACGCTTTCTTTTTAATACTTGGCCCAGAACAGTTTCTCTCTCTATACCGCATGTTAGGGCCAGCAAATACCTTGTGTACCAGTATGTTGGTGAGTTAAGAACCAACCTGACCCTTTAATGCAAAGCTCACGTGGGTCCTTTCCTGAGGCTCAAAGACATTTTTGTTTTGTTAATTGTAACCCGGGCGGTACTCCAAGAGGTACCCCCTCTCCAATTGAAGGGATCAAAGCAGGTGCACAAGCGCTGTGGAAGGTGTAGGGACTCTCCTCCCCCTATAGAGCAGAGCCAGACCACCAATGGGGACTTAACCATATACCTTTTAAAAGAGAGAACAATACTGAGAACATAACCAGTATAAACCAGGGGGTATAGGGGACAGTACAATGCCCCGAGGGGGCAGGATTCAACAAAGGTTAGACACTTACAATCACAGACATATTCATCCAGTTGACAAAAGACAGAGTTAACCAAAGTGTAAAACACAAACAGCAGAACAAACAATACGGGTTGGGGAAATATAAAAGGCACAAAATGCAAAATGTCAAATGACAAGGAAATATAGGGCCTTGGTACCTGGAGGGGGAGAAAGGGGGAAAACACAATGGCCCCTTTCCACTGCAAGAAGAATTTCTCCCTGTTAATTCACTCACCCCACCTGGGGCATGAACTTGGAGCTCCCACATGGTGTGCAGAAACTCTGCTATGCATGGGCACTGCTCCCAGCTGCTGGGGGTCTTGACCTTCCCAGGGCCCCAGCCTCACATCCAGCTGCCTGGCCTCTGATGGAGGAGCTGGGAGCAGAGCTGGGAACCTCTCACGTTGCTGCTCAGATCCTTGCTGGAGCGGGGGAGCCTCTCCTGCCGGCCGCAGCCTCTCCCAGGGGATCCTGGAGCCCAGTGGGGAGTCTCTCCTGCCAGCCACACGCCACGCTGCTGAGGGTCCCACTGCTGCCGGCAGGTCCTGCTCTTTCAGGCTCTTCTGGGGCACTGCTCCTGCCCCGCTGGCCCAGCTCTTTGAGACGTCTTCCTTGCGGCCCCTCGCTGGTCTCCTGAGTCAGCTGCGCTGCCCCTTTTATCCCCCTCCAGGTGACCCAAGGGGCAAATCAGGGGACACGGCGGGGTGAGTCTCTGGGGCCTGCTTGGTGCGGAAAGGGAATCCCAAGTCCTCCAATCACCTTTTGCCCCTTCAAACCCCTGGGCTAAGTCACTGCCCGCCAGCCCGTCACAGAATTGTCCACATTTCTTTCCATATCTTGTTTTCAAGCAGAACCAGAAATACATATATTGCAAAGATGTGATTTCAAATGATTTGATTTCTAACTATTTCACATGGTGAATCTTGCCTGATTCTGTCTTGGTCTTCGGGAATGAAACACCAGGCCGTGTGGTTCCCGGAGTAAACATCCCCATGTCATGGTCTAATATAGTATCAGTGTAGCTACTACAGGTGGTCAGACTACAGCAATTCCAGTTTAGCTAGGTGCAGTTCAAGAATCCAGGCCTCAGCCTTTTCTCCAGCCCTAAATCCAAGTTCTGCTCAAGCATAAGTAATTAAGTATGGAGGTGGGTGCTGTATATTTTGTTGATTTTTGAGGTGGTGCCATGTGCTTTCCTTTCCCAGCATTAGCGTATATCCTCTGGAAGAAGCAAATATTTATCAAAACTGCCTGAGAAAACCATGAATCACCAGAAGAGATTTTTTATTTTGTATTTTCATATGTATTTTCTCCATTTTAACTTGTTTGATTTGCTTTCCTAGCAGTGTTAGTTTAATGCACTGGAATGTGTTGGCTATTGGAGATTGGCTTTAAAATGATGCAAGCCTATCCTTCTTTCTATTTTCCAGATCCTTAAAAAAATTACCTGCAGTGAGTGGTTACACTAAATAATAGGGTGAATTCTCCTTTTGGTTATGGGAATGGAAAGTAAAGCCACCGCTTTAGTGGTATGGGATTGTCAGAAACTACAGGCAAGTTGCACCCTCAAAAAATATCAGAGACATTAATAAATCAATGTTATTTTTGTTGTTGTTTTTTTACATTCTCTCCCACCTCTGGTCTTCTTCATGGTATTACCGGCCTGGCCTTGAGAATAACAGGTGAGAACAAAGTAATCTGATTCAGATATATGGAAAGGCAAAGACTGTAAGCCCACCCCTGATTTACTGCTAAATGGAAAGTTTAGCTAAAGCTTTTAGACTTTTAGGTCAAGTGGAAGAGAAGTGTGCCTTTGGGACTTCACCTCTATCACCAATGTTCAGTGCCTGCATGGTTTTGTCAGCCTCTAAGATCTCTCTGTCACGAGCTTTTCCAATGTGCCCGTCATTTTACTATCATTTGACAAAGGTTGATAAGGGCAGCTTTTCTATTCTAATCTAATCAGACCCATCACATCAGTTTGGTCCTCACTGACATATATTTGGTATATTATTTATTTGTCATTCATTTGATACACATCTGTATCCTTGATTATTGCATTAGTGGAAAGCTGTGCAGTATAAAATAGAAGTATGTATTACTTATCCTCTTCTCATTGATTATTTATTTATTTATTTTTTTGCAGAGACATGCTTCTGCAGAACTGATTTTTTGGACAGATGATTTATGTTATAGAAATTTGTTCTTTCTATTTTGTATTCAATCTTAGAAAAATGAAATAAGCATAAATTGAAATAAATTTGTAGAAAATATCCAGAACTGTGCAAAAGTATTGTAAAATTGTACAGTTTCATTGTAGTGCATCAGGACAGCAAACAAAACCTTCAAAAGTCACACAGAATGGGCAAAGTTTAACTGTGATCCAACCTGAGTGATTTTCTGGATTATGGCTCATGCTCCTTGCAGCGGCATCGTGCAGTAAAGTGGGATTGCATTTCTTTTTAAATGACTGGATGGCTTTAAATCTGTTGATCGATTTGGGATGGCTACTCACATGTTCCTAGCTTTATGTTTTACAAACTTGTTCTAAAAATGCTACCATTTTTCCCCCATCTTAAATGAGGTGCGGTAAGATATTATTTTAATATGCTGAAAAGAACAGGTCATGGAAAGTGCCAAATAAACACCAGAAAAACAAAGTTTTTTATTTATCTACAGAAAACACAGGAGCCCTCCCATCACCACAGCTCTGCTATGTCTGTCCTGACCTTTCTTTGCATGCAGCTTTAGAGGCAGGAGACTACAATCACAGACTATTATTTTGGAGGCTGTTTATTATACCTTTTAAATTGGATCTGGATCAACACTTATTTGCTGGAGTCCCGAAAAGATTCCAATAGACACTGGATCTGGTCCCGTGGGACGTCTGGCATCCTTTTATTGATTGCCATGGTCTTGCTACTTTACTGCAGTTGTGTTCAAAGAATCTGCCAAGCTTAATGAACTCTAAACATGCATATACTATTAACTGATTACATTGATCCTGCAATGAAGGAAAATCAGTCTAGTTTTCTTTCTCCATCATGCATCTTGACATTTTTATAACCCAGTAGAGCTCTTACCTGAAACATGGTTTCGACCCATTTCTGCTTAAAACCCTAGGCGCCAAAATTCTTGACATTCTCTTCCCCTAAGCTCACACATGCACACACGTCTCCACCCTTTGAATTAATGCATTATCTGGCAGCAGTGTTCATTTGTGTGTATTTAAGGAGGTGTCCATCTCAGTGCCCGTAGGCAAATATTTTTTTTTGCCATATGCCCCTGTGCTGCCTGATACAAGATCCTAGAAAGCAAATATAGCATGCGCAAGTCATTTTTATATAATCATTTTTCATTATATGACCAGGCTGTAAAGTAGGTCAGTGTGGCCTATATCAGTGGTTTGCAGTCTGCAGTCCACAGATCACTGGTGGTCCGTGGTCCATTGTCTGAAGCTGGTGCCCAAGTCACACTGGCCCCAGCTTTTCCATTCAAAGGTGATGATAAGGCTTAATGGTGACTCGCAGGAAATGTTGAAGGTTGCAAGAGTGGTCCATTGGTCAAAAAGGTTTGAGGGTGATTGGCCTAAATGAACCAGAAAGGAACAGCAGTAAATGAGAACCATGATTCTCTTCTTTACATTGCTACTGCTCCGCTTCATAATCTTTCTGAACTTCATAAGCCCCAGCTTTTTTACTAAGGGAGACTAAGATTTACCCAACCCATGTATGCAAGGCATTATTTTTGTTTGTATCATAATTATCATTGGAATATTTCAGTCAATTTAAGTACAGTAGTTTTGCTTGGAGCCGTGTACATTTGGAAGTTTATTTGCAACTGTTTTGGAAGTGGTACCCAGAAAGTTGGTCTATTAGTTGATTTGTTACCTGTACTTGTAGGTTGTGATGATACAGACATTTCTGTCTAGGTTAGTGTATCTGGCTGTACAAAGGAAGAATATACCTTTCCCCTGTTGCATACTTTTGCTAATGAAGAAAACTAGACAAAATAAAATCATAGCTGTGTATTAAAAAGATTAAGCCAGCAGGTGTTTACTCTCACAGTTTAGTTATTAAAGAATAGGTATTTGAGAAGTGATTAATTAGACATTTTTCAGGGCTGATTGAAGTGCTCATATCAGGATTGGGTTATCTGCCTAAGGCACAAAATTCGGATAAAGCAGTTTACCATGGTGTGTCACATTGATAGGGAACTGCTCGAGTCAGAAAGCATATTGCTGTCAAGTGTTTTCCACACCTACAGTGAGATATAAAAGTTCGACGTTTCAGTGCTTTTTTCCATTTGGTCCACAACTTCTCAGTCTTATCTGGAAGAACAATGAACATGCTTGTGAGTATATTTGTCCCTTATTGCCACTGTAGGGTACAAAACTGAACACTTATGTAAAAAACATGAATTATTTTCTTTTTGCTAGACAGAAGAGTTTTAAGTAAGGTGAGAACTGTCTGAATAATTCTCTGACCTGTTTCACGTCTCGTTTGTAAGTGCTGGAGGGTTGACTTCTTGTGCATGCAGTAATCCCACTGAAGTCACTGGGATGGTTCTGCAGCTAACTTACGTTATATGTTTTGAGGGGAATTGGGGTAACAACATGGCAGCGATCAATGTCATTTTTGAATAGCAAGGAAACGTTTAAAAAAAAAAAGCCTGCCTGTTCCATTCCAAATGAGAAGATGAAGAAACCCAAATTGGAAAAATGTTTACATAAACAAAAAGTATGAGACAGGCAGAAAGCTAAAAATGAAGGCAAACAAGGAGTTGGGGAAAGAAAATGACTATTTCTGTATTTGGTGATTTTCATTCTTTACACGTAGAATGGCCTCTATATTGTTTTAAAGCAGGCCCCTGTCTGACTGGGGACCAGATCTGATTTGTGATATGCATCATCATATCCTGCCCCTGCCAGTGCCCATTACCAGATTCTTCGGCTAGAAACCACGTAGTGGAAAATTAAAGCAATATCAAACTTGCAAGATTTGAAACTCCCAAACTCGGAAGGATTTCAAAATCACACCTATCTACAGTTCCCCTGGAAATGTGGAGGTTTTCTGGTCTGAATTTCTAAAAGAGCTTGCTTTTGATTTGTTTTCGTTAATACGTATTCTATTTCAATGACTAATTGATGCTCCTTCACTTCTATTGATATATTATAGCTGACAAATTGAAACCTCACCAACAAACTCAGAGGAGATTTTTTTGGACATTCCTAATATTTCTAAGGCCAAAAAAATCAGACAAAAATTGTAAATAGATAGCTCAATAAACTTTTATACACCATGAAATCCACAGGTTACCTTTGGGATTAAGTGATTGCTATAAAGTTTCACAGTTTAACAAACAAAATAAAACATAACAGGAATACAAATACAGCAGGGAAATAGAATTCTCTTCCAATGGTCTTCATGTAATGCACAGCGGATAATTTTTCAAGCCTTGACAATACAACAGCTTCCCTTAATTTGTTAATTCAGAAGACCGTATATATTCATCTGAACTCTGTCCACTTGGCATGAAGTACTCATTGTTCCTATTAAATATGAATGCTGCTATTTTCTTTTTCAGGCTGCACTAATTGCTGTGTTGGGAGTCTTCTGGACCCAGGCAGCTGCATATCACGTAAGTAGACTGGGAAGGCTGTGTACTGCCTACCATTTATTTGCAATATGTTCCAAAAGTGGGAGGATGGAAAATTGGCTAATAGGAAAAAAGCCGTGATGAAACTAGCAAAATGTTTATTGCTGAGTCCAGAGAAAAAGTCATTTTTTGCCAAAGCAGGCAACCACATAAATTAAAGAACCAATTCTGCAGCCCTTAGGTGAGCAAAACATCCAGAGAAACCTGGCTGTAAGATTAGGTCCTAGAAAAGGAGAAGGCTTGTAATATCATCCCTTCCATCCCACCACATCACTTTACAGTTATTCCCTGCTATATATTACTGGCAACGTTGCAGCTTCCCAAGCAAATACAAGCCGCAACCCAGTACAATTTACCATTAAGAAAGTGTTAATTTATTTCCTATCTCATTCACTTTCCAACCATTGCTTCAGGTTGTAACTATTCTCAACAATTTCCCCTTTTCTTCATATTTATGTACTGTTAAATCCTTCCTTATTACATAGCGACTAGACACAGTGGGACTGATGTGCCTTTACACTCTGGCTTTCTGACAGTGTGAAGGGGGCTTAAATGAGTGTGTCTGCAATTGATGCCTACTCCAAGGCCTCCTTTCCCTGCCAGAGAGGTGTAAAGGGGCTTCAGTGCAATTATGAATTGGGCTCTTTCAGCATATGGGAATAAGAACAGTTTACTGCAAAGAGAAGGAGATGGGGATTTACCACTCAGCACTACCTACTTATATATATGCCCTTATCCCATGGTAAGTATTTTAAGAGGGTTAAGTTACCATGGGATAGCTTTCATCTGCCATGATGTAAGAGTATACACACTGGCAGGTACCACGGAACCAGTGATACATGGTAAATCCCTACCCATTTTACTCCACAGAAAGTCACGTCTCCCTGTACCCTTATCTTTTTTATTTCGGTAGCCCAGGAATTATAGCAGACAAAACACTTCCTTCTTTGTTGTATTTTTGAGTGCAACAGAAGTTTCTGATAAAATATTTTGTGTTTTGTGCCCAGATCTACAGCATTACAGCACCTGGCCATGACTATGTCCTGCAAACTGTGACTATCGACAATGAAAGGGATCTTGCAGACATCCATGTCCGTAACGGGCTGGGCTCCTCTGACACCATTTTTGACTACAAACATGTAAGTAAACCCAAGTACCTTTTGCAGCACAGAGGCGTCTCTACGACGATATGTTTAAATATAGTGAAACACATTAATATATCAGCACCAGCATCATCAGTAGTAGCATCATGGGTTATTTTGACACTTGGGCAACTCCCATTGCAGTCCATGTAGTTCACTTTACATTTATATCAGTGAAGCCAAGGGCAGAGTCTAGATCAAAGTATAAGCAGAATTAGCAACTGGGTCAAAGCCAAAGGTCCACTTCTGCCTGAGTAGCTAGTGGCACATAAGGGAGTGATGGTACTATCATGTTCAGCTGCCTTTGCCTTACTGGCCCAGATGGCCAGGATCATTCATTTATTGTTAGGTTGGCTAAGGGTAGGCTTTGGCACACTTGCAAAGCAAGGTTTGAATTCATACCTAGCGCAAGATACTTTAACTGCTCTGTAGACCCAGCAAGCAGTTGGCTAATAGTAAATTGGGTATGTCTACATGAGATGTAGACCAATTAGCTCCACAGTACATGTGCAGGGCTATTAGGCTGAAGTAAATTAATTAACTCTGCAGCAGGATAGTACTTATAAACACAAGTACTATCCTGTGGTGGTGTTATTTAGTGTGTCACAATGCATGTGTAGATGCTGATGGCACTGGCTAGGGCATGAGGGTGCTTCAGTGTGGGGGCTGCCTGTGTCCCACACTGCCCTTCTGCAGCATGTTGAGACAGGTTGGAGCAGCTCTGGGCTGGCAGGCTGACCCCCTAGACCCTCTGCCAGCAGGGGCTGCTCTGACTCAGCTCAACATGCTGTGGTCTCAGGCGGATGTTCAAATGATGTACCTGGGAGCAATAAACTCTGGCATGATAAGCACCGGAGTTTCTTGCTTCAAATTAATTGCATATGTAGTCCCACCCCCTAACTTGTAATTTAATAGCCTGCTCTTGTGTTTTACAGGGATACATTGCAATGAGGGTGTTTTCCCGGAGGGCCTGCTTTATTATGAAGATGGAGAAAGGATATACCCTAACACTGGAAGAGATCGGACGTCTTGCTTATGAGAGAGAGGTGAATTTCTAGAGTGTCATGTACTGTGTATAAATTAGGGGCAATGGAGACATCGTGTGATGGAAACAGAAAATGTTGCCATGTAGAATACTGTAGAGTACTGTTCCTAGGAGTATAATTGGAACAGCAATGACAACAGAGAAGCAGCAAGCTAAGACTTCCAGGGAAGATCACATGCAATGCCACTCTTAAGACAGTGACTAAGGATAGCTTGGTCTGCAGTTTTAGATGTGTAGATTAGG